AAAAAAAATATTCTAGCAGGTATATTTAGCTGCTGGATGGTTTAAGGGATAGCCAATCAGAAGTCAGTATTTAAATTTATTATACAAGTCTGCAGATCAAATATTAAAAGCTGCAATCTGATTGGCTTTTTCTAAATACAAACCTCTCTAAATGCACGTTTTAGATTAGTCTGTACACATTGTATTTATGAAAGTTTGACTGTATATTTTAATAAATTTGTAATTTTTTTTTTTTTGATATTAAAATAACCTTTTGGTTATATGCCTTTATTTAGTTATAGTTATAATTTTTACAATATGATTTTTATACTATATACATATTCAGAAAATACAACTAGCTACATATGCAATTTTTGGTTGTCTATTTTAAGTAGTTCGCTTATTACTAAGTTTTATATTAGATGTCATATCTATAACTTGATTAGGGGGTTATCTATTTAAACCTTCTGTATCTATGTGATTATACTATTAACCAAATAAGAATTTAATACAGATACCCTTAGTTTCAGATACTGGCTTAGGATTTTAAGACAAGTTCTTTGCCCTAAGAGCTCTTTATCTTCGAGGCAAACTTGCTAAAGCCTTCTGTACCTACAATCTGGCTGACCTAGTCTTCAGTTGATATATACAGGCCAAGGCCTATTACTTGCATGCCAGTTTCTATATTGGGTACTATAGCCTGATCGCTACTATACAACCTACTTCTGCTCTTATAGAATTCACCCAAACCCTGATACACATATTACAGACTGTCTACAATATCCCTGACTATTCCAAACTACCAATTCAAATAGCTCAAAAGGCTGTAACCTGCTTAGTTCTCATGGTTGGGTTCTTTTTCTCTAGTTACTCCTTTGTTAACCTGGTTCTGCCATTATTGGTGTAATTTTGCTATACTGCTGTTACTACAGTTGTTATTTCTGGTGGCTTCTTTTTGTTTACGTGTGTTTGGTTTTCTAGCGCTTCTTCCTTTCAAGTAACAGATTTCGTCGTTTCTGGTGTTGTGTAATCGCTTGAGTTCTCTCTGGTTTTGGGTGGCCACTTGAGGTACTTTGGACATGGGTGTGCTACTGTCTTTTGTAGTTGTTTTTTTTTGTATAAAATACGTTAACTAACATCTTTATTTTTTTCAAATAATTTACAGGTTAGTTGTTGTGATTACGTTCATATTTTTGGGTTGGTTTCTTTTTTCCATTACTTGAAATGTTCTACGCTGTTTAACATTTGGTTTGTTTGTAAACATGTTCAATAAAGCTTTTTAGGATGGCTAGTAACTTCTTCGTGCAGGTTCTCTTTCTGGTTTCTATTCTTTTTGCCTTGTCATTCTGCTGTGCCACAGGTTTTGTTGATTTTGTCATGCTAGTGCGCCGTTGGTGGTGAATTCGTCGTTGGTGGTTAATTCGATTTTGGTGGTGAATTCATCTTTGGTGGTCTATAGGTTTTGTGGTTTTGGTTCTTTACCTGTTACTGGATAGAATTTATATTTAGTTTGTTAAATGTTAGAGTTAGGGTTAGGGTTAGGATAGTTGGTTGTATTAGTATATTGGTTGTTTTTAGTATTTTTTAGTTTGTTATATAGTGATGTATTTTATAGCAATTCTTGATTTTTTATAAATAAATCACAATTGTCATTATTACCAATATCAGATATATTGTATTTAATAAATTATAGTTGTATTATTGTTGTTACACGTAAACTAAGAAAATCTGTATTATGTAAATTGATCTCGTGATTAGAGGTGCACCGCGGTGCAGATGCACCAAAAAATAAAACCCTATATTAAATATACAAGAAAAACTCCCGTGAATTTGTGTACTTGCTGAAACATTCTTATTTTTTTTATTAATTATTGAGGGTGTAATAATTTCATTAATCCGGCTGTATGTATATTTTTAGATTTCTCCCAAAGAGTACAGTACATAGAAGTTCGAACAGATTTTTATTGATTTTATAGGATCTATAAGTCAAAATATTCATATTTATATACCGATCCTTATGAGCCAATTGTGCATAGAACTTTTGATGTTGATCAATATAAATTTTGGTATATAATAGATCAAATAAGAGACTTTTTTAGTGAATAAAATCAGGATGTTGTAGGTTCAGACATCCAGATTATGATGGGTTTGTGCTGTATTAAATTTTCAATTTATCCAACTTGAATTGGTTTTCTTGCAAATAGAATTTATGGTAGTACATCTGTATTGATATTTTTGTAAAATAGGCTTTTTTTAATTTATTAAACTAATATTAATATAAAGTTAAATTTGTATTTATTATCGTTATGTAACGTTAAGTTTTTAAAATTCCGGCCAATATTTTGATAATCTTGGTCATTTTGAATACCTGATCTGAGTATCCAATAAAGTAAAGATCTTCAAAAATCTTTCTGAAATTATATAATGGTATTTGCCTTCATGCAGGTTTAGGTATCACATATATGTAGGGAATTTATATACATACAACTTTTGAATATAAGAACTTTCTTCCATTAATCCTTCATAATGAGTGATATCGAATCCATGTCATCTAATGACTACAAAAAACGGGTTCGATCACCAGCAGTAATAAAATCTACTATTCCTCTGAAAAAAAAGAAAACCACTAATACAAGCATTTATATTAGTCGAATTGATAATAAAGAATTATTTCCTCCAACCGTTTCACCAGTAACAACAAAGTCAAAACCATATAATTCAGTTGAATGGAAAACTTTAAATCAATCACTGCTAAATGCAAAAAGACAAAATAAAATTAACCAAGACTGGGCAGAAGTTTATAGTAAATTCTTCCAATTCAAACTGATATATGATTCTGTCCAAAAAAAATCTTTTGATTTTCAAATGAAAAAAGATAATGAAATAAATAAATTGATCAAACAATCTATTCCTGATAGATGTAGCACAGAAATATCACGTTGGAGAAAGGCTTACAATTTGGTTGTGCTTGTAATAGAAAAAAGTAATGATATTTGTCTTGAAGATTTTCTTGAAGAAATAAGAGATTTGAATATTACATTTAATTATCTTCAAGAAGTTGAGCCAGCAGAATTTATGACTTTGCTTAATAAAATAGTAGAAAATTACAAGCTAAAAATGGAAATTCAATAAAGTAAGTATCTTTAATTTTACATAATTTTAGTGCAAATATATCTGTAAATCCCTAAGTAAACAAAAAACTGCGTATAATAGAAAAGAGAAAAGACATATAGCAGACACAAATAACTAAAGAGAAGGACCAGGTTGTACCCTGCAACTCTCCTGACATTAGATAACATAGGGAAAAGGAAAAGGTCAATAGTACTTGGCATACCTGCTATATTTAACCCTTTGTTGCCGACCTGGTCGGCAACACTGTTTAACAGAAGTACAGATATGAATGAGTCTACTAGGTTACCTACAAGCCACATGGAGACCGATCTGCCAAATGAGCAGTATGATAATGAGGAACATGTTGCAAAGAAAATCTGCAAACAAAAGTCCCCTTTAGACCCTATTGTTAATAATGAGATAGAGGCCTCAACTACTCTCCGAAATACAAATGAAAAAAGTGGCGATACCAATTCACCCTTACAAAATGCAGAGATGATATCATTGATAAACACAATACTAAAACAAACTACTTTGAAACAGGACCTGAGTAAGGCACCTGGTGCATTACCAAAAATAGAAAAAAACCACACCTTGATTGGATCCGCACAACAATCAATACACCAATCAGAACTAGACCCAACTCACATATTACAAGAAATGCCCCGACACCAAGACTCTGTTCAGCAATTATGTGCAGCATCCAACACCATTGAAGAAATGAATCTAGATTCGAACCAAGGGGAGGCCTCAATAGACATGATATCAGAGGAGGAGACAATACAGGAAGCCACTGGAAGTTATACAGTCACGCAGTAACTGGGCCAAGAAAACCTAGCCAAAATCAACACCCAGACTTAATTAAACTAATCAAAGAATGGATAGTATGTGTGAGGACTGCGTTATCAAATGCAAAAGAAACAGGTTTTGACAAAAAATGTATGGAATCGAGACGAAATACTAGCGGCCTTCTTAGACCCAATCAAATTTAAATCGTTAATACAATACAAACTACAAACCAGACCAACACAAATAAATATTTCACAAGCAATTGGGCTGAAACTCAAACACAGAGATCGAGCATTCTTCCGCACATTTACTAGAAGATATGACACTTGGCCACAACATCAACAAGAATTTATGAATCTTATAGAAGAGGCAACACGCAAGTATAAGCAGATACACAATGCCCATATAATTAATAAAGAGAACAGAGATCAGCTTACCGATATGCTTAGGAAGAAATTAGCCATAGATTTCTGGACAAATGAAGAGTTCACCAGGCTTGATTCTATTGAAATTGCTAGGTATACTATGTACCTGGTTGGCTTTGCTAGAATAGAAACAAGAATGGACTTTAATACCATTAAAGGAATAGTTGAAGAAGTCAAAATGGGAAGACTCATCACAGTGCCAGACCATCTACAAGAAATTGAAGACCAAGTGAAGAACCTCTTACCATTTGATCTACCCCTGACAGATCGTAGATGAGTGAGAGCAGCGGTAATAGCCCTTAGACAGGTCTTTTCTTTTGACAGGCTACCTGACGCATACTTCGCAGATGACAGGACCCCACTTTCAGAACATCCTGGATGGCTTAATGAAACAACTCGGAAAATGTTTCCAATCACTGTCCAAGCAGATCTTAAAAAAGTATGGGGATACAAAAAGGAATTGCGAAAGTTTTATACCTTCAAGGCTCTTCCAAAGTCATATTTTGAATTACTACCAAAAAAGATGCCACTCCCCCCAACGCCGCAGGAACTTACTTCACGGCTTAAAGAAATCTTCCCATTTTATCCACTAAATGCAGAGCACTTTAAGGAGCACATTGAAAAGTTGAGAGTGGTTTATGCATTTAAAACCCTTCCGAATGTTTACATCATTAGCAAAAAACGTCTTCCAAAAGACCCATGGAGTTTGCCATTAGCCGACACCTTCTCCTTTCCTATTGATAATGAGAAATCTCTCGTCAACTTTCTGCATGCAATACCAAGATACTACGCAATACCCAATCCACTCCCAAAGGAATACATCAACTTTACTATACTGACAAACTGGAACTCCCAACAGATCCAAAGTTAGTAGAAAAGGTAAATCTAATACTCCCTAGCATGACTCCTCACGAATTGACTATAGCAGCAAAAGCCCTGCGAGAACATTACTTTTTCCAATCGCTTCCAGAGGACTGGATTCAAATTCCTAAGAGAAATATAGAAGAAATAGGCAATAGACTGCCAAATACGGTTGAAGAACTCAAACAACAGATAGAACAGAGAAATCTGCAAACTATACTAAGCTTCCCAATAACAAAGCAGGAGGGGATTCCGTCAGCCATAGAATTTCTAAAACAAAATTTAGTGCTAGAATCGATCCCAGACTTTGCTTTTCAACTTACATCTCTCCCATTACCAAGTTGGGAACTCTTTGAGGAAGCCGAAATTGATGTCGACATATCTATGCAAGAGAATGAACCAACACAACCAACCATCAACACACAAGGGACAGTTCCTGAAAAAGAATCAGTCAATGAGTATTGAGAATCAAGCAACATTAAACACGGGCACACCCGAACAAAACATTAACAACAG